TACAACCTTGCTTGCTGAAAGTGAAGAGGACTTAAAATATTTACTGATGAAGATCAAAGAGCATAGCCTTCCATAGGGATTCCATCTCAGTGTAAAGAAAACAAAAATCCTCACCACTGGGCCAATAAACAACATTCTTATTAATGGAGAAAAGATTGAAGTTTCCAAGGGCTTTATTCTTCTTGGATCAACTATCAACATTCATGGAAGCAGCAGTCAAGAAATCAAATGACGTATTGCATTAGGCAAATCTGCTGCACAAGACCTTTTTGAAGTGTTGAAGAGCAAAGATTTGAGTTTGAGAACTAAGGTGCACCTGAGTCAAGCCATGGTATTTTCAATAACCTCATATGCATTAAAAATAATGAAAGCGGGATAGTGAATACAGAAAACCATAGAAAAATTGATACTTTTGAGTTATGGTGTTGGAGGAGGATATTGAAAGTGCCAAAAGAACCAACAGATCTGTGTTGGAAGAAGTGCAGCCACAGTGCTCCTTGGAGGCCAGGATGGCCAAACTTGGTCCTCATACTTCGGACATTTTGTCAGGAAGGACCAGTTGCTGGAGAAGGAGATCATGTTTGGTAAGGTGGAGTGTCAGAAAAAATGAGGAAGACCCCCAGTGAGATGGACTGGCAAAGTGGCAGCCTCAATGAGCTCAGTCGTGGCAACAATTGTGAGGTTGTCCCAGGACCAGACGGACAGCGTTTTCGTTCTGTGTATAAGGTTACTTACTATGAGTCAGTACCGACTCAGTGGCACCTAAAAACAACAAATAACATAATGATTAAGAATTTAGACACTGAATTTAAATCCTAGTTTCATACTTCTAAAGACATTAAGGACAAAAGAGGTTAAGAATAGTAGCTAATGTTTTATTCTAATACTTTACACAAATAAGCACGTATAATCCTTATGACCACCTATAAGGTAAGTGCTGTTATTGTCTCTATTAATGAGGACATCCTAGGTGAGGTTTAAACAGTTCATGGAAAAATTCCGTTGTCTTTAAATTCCACTTTCCTCCAAACTTTTTGAAGCGCCTTGGTAGAGAGGATGAAATAAGTTAACTTGCCTGTTTTATTTTTAATTGGGTCACTTATTTGGGCCTTTATGCCTGAATCTGAATAAAAATGTAATCTCCGTCAAAGGATTTGGGGAAGGAAAACATGAGATAATGTACGTAGTGTGTTTAGCATTATACCTTGATGTTACTGAATGCTCAGTAAACTTATCTTAACAATTTTGTAGCATATGCTAGTTAGTTATATATACTCTTTATTAGGTCTTTGAGGGAAAATTCAGTTATGTTTCTACTATGCTACATAGGATTAACATTTATTTTGAGTTTTGATTCCCATTACTGGAAACACCTGGTAATCATGTCAGGAAATATAACATTTTTACTTTTTTATGTCAATGTACATTTATTTTATTAACACAAAAATTGACAAGTTGCTCATTGATTTGCCTTTTTTTTTTTAGGTAGTTAGGTTTCATGGTGGAGCTCTTCCTGCCTACATTATATCTAGTATCCTTCTTGCTTATGGAGGACAATTATACTCTCTTTTTTCAATAGGTAAGAATATAATTGTTAACTATTTTTTATGAATATTGAAGTAGCAATGTTATTATATACTATATGTGTGTTTTCTATTATAATGAACTATTATTTGTTAAGAAACATAATAAATCAATTTTTGGAAAACAGCCACATAGTAGTAGCTATGATTGCTAATCTTGGAAACTTCAAAGTAACAGGTGGTTATGACCCACCTTTTCTACATATTCAGACAACTAGTTTAGAGAACTTCAGTTTGTGATCTTAAGGCCTGTAAATTATTAACACTCTCTAGGGTATCACATTGTAACTCTTAAAAAGTTTTTTGATTTTGTTTTTCTTAAGTACATTGAGGAATTGAAAAATAAGATCATCTTCATGTAATTTTTTTTTCAGTATTTATATGTTTAAAAAGGACTTAAACTAATACAGTGCTATCAAAACAAAATTATTGGCAATAATGCCTTTAAATTATCACATTAAGGTTTTAAATATTTCTTAACAGTGCCCATATGAGACCTACACATTATAGTTGGTCATTTAAATTTCTTAATCTGAAGGCTGCACTCTTCATCTCTTTGTTTTCCGCTTTTGCAATTTATTGATTAAACAAACCTGACTGTTTATACTATTGAATTTCCAGTGTGGGTTTTGTCGATTGCTTCATTATGGAGTGGTTGAACATTCTCTGTTTTCTCTATTACTTATAAATTGATCATTGTTGTTGTTAAGTACCGTCGAGTCGATTCCAA